TCCCACTGTGTTGTTGTCGTTAGTGCAGTTGGGTTGATTCCAACTCATGGCCCTCCTCTGTGCAATAGAATAAAACACAGCTTGATCCTGCACCCTCCACACAGTCACTAGTGTTTGAGCCCCATGTTACAACATGATGGCAATCTAGCTGTGTCACTGAAGGTCATCTTTTCACCATAGTCTTCATCAAGTCTAAATAATTCAGATTCTTTCATTGATTTCTTCAGGCTTATTCATTGCCCAGCTCTGGCATACATTATGAGATACTTAAAAATACCATTGCTGGGTCAGGTGAACCTTAGTTCTTTAAGTGACAGCTTTGCTCTTTAATACTTTAAAGAGTCTGTTGCTGGAGATTACCCAACAGAAAATGTGTGAATTTTTAACTACTGGACCCAAGCAAAATTAAATACTCGATAACTTCAATGTTTTTATCCATTTGTCATGTGTTCATTGGTCCAGTAACAAGGATTGTTTTCGTTAAATTGAGGGGTCCTCCGTACTGAGGGCTGTTTGATCTTCAGCAGCCAAGGTTGTGTTATCCTCACATTGCACATTGAGCCCTCCGCCATTCCAGATGCTACATACTTTTCCTGATATGACACCAAGTGTATTGTCCCTATGATTGCCTTCTGGTCTATGTATAGATACCACACGAGCACAAATCATGTTCTAGAGTTTCCCTTCTTTGCAATGACTATTTGTAATGTGTTGTAATTCCTACAGTTGAATACCTTTGTAGTCAATAAAACACAAGTAAATATCTTTCTTGAATTTTCTGCTTCCGGCCCAAGACCCAAATGACATCAGTAAAGGTATCCCTCATTCCATGTCATTTTCTGAGTCTGACTTCATTTCTGTCAGCTACTTGTTGATGTGCTTCAGTCTTAAATTTTTGTCTTCAGCTTAAAAAATGCCATGCCTAGTCTTCCCCTCTGGTTTTAACATCGGGTGTTTGCATATTCCATTACAATACTTTTGTCTTCTCAAGCTGCCCTTTGAAATATCCTACTCAGCTCTTTCGCTTCATTATTCCTTCCAGTCTCCAGCGTCTGGAAGGTCAAGAGCAAGTTGCAAAGTCTCTCCTGACATTGTTTTGCTCTTTTCTTCTTCCTTAATGACTTTTAGGCTTCTTCTTTTATGATTCTGCTTTTTTTGTTGTTGTTATGATGTTCTGTAATATAATTTCTCAACTCATCTGTGTTCTTTGATCGCTAATGTTCACCAAATTGATTTTATTCATGTGATGGTCTCTAAATTCAGGTAAGAAATATTCAAGGTCATATTTGACTCCTGTGGAATTGTTTCACTTTTCTTTACCTTCTGCCTGCACTTGCATATGAGCAATTGGTGATCTTTTCCACATGTGTAGTTATTGAGAGTGAAAAAATTGCATTGTATAAGTCCATTGACCTTCTAACATTATGTCATGTAATCTGTAGCCTGGTTTTCATCAGCAAGGTTATATTTTCCAACTACCAATCATACCTCTTTTTTTCTAACTTTCACACTCCAGTGAATTAATCAGTACAGCTTGATTGCATGGTTGATCATTCCAAACAAGTATTTTTAGAATTCTTCACCTTTTTTTGTCATTAGCATTAGTGGTTGGTGCATAAACTTGAAAGAGGGGGCCTCAGAAAGATGGATTGAGACGGTGGCTGCAGCCTTGGGCTCAGACGTGACAACTGTGCGGATGGAGCAGGCTGGATGGTGTTTTCGAACCGGCTCCGCAGCACCTAACAGCAACATGGACCGACTGCTCCGCACTTCCAGACCTTGAAACGTTCTTTTTGCCGCCAGTAACTGGTGCCATTGCTCTGTGGTGTTTCTTTCCCAGAAGAGTAAGCCCTGTGACCGTCTGATTTGGGGTGGCTAGTTACCACTATTGCAGCTCACTGGTGCCCAGGACATAAACATTTTTGCATTCCGTTTAACAACTTGCAGTTAGCCTGGATGCACACTTTGAACATTCCAGAATTATTATAGGATGTATGCATCTGTTTCATCGTTTTTGAGTTGTGCCATATCAGCAAGTAAAGGTCCAAAAACTTTGTTCCGTCCATGACATTGCGGTTCACTTGTCTGTGAAGGGGCTGTTCATTCCCAGTTGTATTTTGAGTGCCTTCTAACCTGATGGGCTCCTCTTCTGGGTCTATGTCAGACAATGTGCCATTGCTATTCGTAGTTTGCAGCAACTGATCTTTCTGAAGTACAGTACCTCTCCCTCCTCCTGAGTCTGACTGCGTCTGCAAGCTCCACTGAAACTTGTCCAGTGACCCTGCGGGTATTTGAGAGACCAGCGGCATAGCTTCCAGCTTTACAGCAATCCGCAAGCCACCACCGTATGACAAACTGACAGACAAGTACTAGTCTTCCCCTACACATCTTTTAAAAGCTTAATGTTATGTAGAAGTTGCCAAGTCAAATTCACCTACTTAAGTATAGACACGAAGACCATATGCTCAGTTTCATTTGTTATGGTACTAGGTCTTAACAGTCAGGGGTTTTTGTATATATTAAATGGAGAAAATGTGTTCAAAATAGTAGTAAATGTGGAATGGTATTCAACTGTATTAGTAACCAGAGGACTAAAAACAATAACTTTTCTATCTTATTGGTAAAGAGAAGAAAGACCCCTGATTTTGCTTCATGGGGTGCAGCTCCGGCACCCCACCCTGGCACTTTAATATTCTTAGCACTATTTTTTCTTTTCTGTCTTGTGTGTCACTGTCAAATGTGTTGTGTCACTTGCCCATTTCTTTACTGCGTGCCCTACTTCACTCCATGAGGGTAGGAACTCCAGCACCTAGCACACGGGCAGCACAAACCTCCACCTGACAGTATTTGCAGAGTCAGGTAGAAGTCTGTAAATCTGGTCTGCGCACACAGTGGCTAGAAAAGGTACACAGGCTTGCTAAGCTAGGAAGCTTAGAGATGTGTGCTTGCAGCCCAGGAATTCTATTAGATGTAATTGTTCTAAAGTCACGACTGCAAATGTAGACAAGACTATACACAGAGATGCACTGCAGCCTTACAATGGCAAAAAAAAAAAAAGATGAAAACAAACCATGTTGTCCCCCCCATGAAAAATGAGGGGTTTTTTTTTCCCTTTTTTTTTTTTTTAAATAGCTCTTTAGGCATCAAAAAGCCACATTCAAAAGAAACTCGGATGCCAGGTATTAAACGTAGTGCCCCTGAGTGTGAGTGGTTGCCTCTGGAAAGTTCTGTTATCATGTGTCCTCTTGTCTGCCATCCTCTCCTGTCAGATCAAGCTCCAGGAGTCTCCTGACGATATGCCAGCAGGACAGACGCCTCACACGGTCATCCTTTTTGCTCATAATGATCTTGTTGACAAAGTCCAGCCTGGCGACAGAGTGAATGTCACAGGTAAGAGCCATCATGTGTGTTGACACAGTCAGTACCTGTCTGGGTTTTGGCTGTACTTTTTGTGGAAGCTCATCAGCGATGAATATGCAGGAATGAGCCTGTCTGTCTGAGAACGAGGCGTGATCTTTTCCCTGCTTTCTAACCCTGGGTTCCGGAATTCATTGTGCTCATCCTGTGGATATGTCTGCATCTTAAACTGGTGGTCTTGGTGCCATAAGAGAGCAGCTTCACGCTGGCTTATAGGTTTTGCACTGTGCCAGCTGCGTATGGAAGGACCGCTCAGCTATGGAGATGCAAGCAAAGTTCTGCTCATTTCCCAGATACCAGCTGTTCATGGAATGAAAAAAACAGAGACAAGACACTTTGTTTTTATGCTAGTGTGTTAGGGTTCTCTAGAGAGACAAAACCAGATTGCTAGTTATTAGATAGATAGATAGATAGATAGATAGATAGATATAAATATATAACAAGAAATGAACTGTTAAATTATAAAGCAGTACAAATGGCTCAGTGCAACTCACTCCCTTGAGAGAGTTGTGAGATACTGGCAGTCCTTTGAGTCTTGAGGGCCACCAGGTAGTCTTCTGTAGAGAGAGAGCTAGGGTATCTCAGCACAGCAGCAAACCGCAAGGTAGGTCACCAACTCTCAGTCCCCAGCTCGAGATGTACGTTCCAATCATGTGGCCTTAAAGGGATCTCAACTTACAGCGACACAGTCCACAGGCTAGGCATCCCACAGGTAGTGTAGCTTGCAAATTGAGGCACAGAACAAGCAAGGCAGCCCCACACTGGTCCGATGATCAAAGAGCGAGAGACAAGAAAGGTGAGGCTCACCAAGCCATTTATCTCTCCGCCCTTCAATTAATCCCACTTGTGTTTATCAGCCAGGCTGGCACAATAAACTATCTCAGCTAGGTTTTTGTGTTTTCATATCTGAACAGAGGAGATTCAGACTTATGTAGTAACATTAGCTTTGGTTCTGCAGTAAGTTACAGAGCCAGGATACACAGGGCCTCTTCTCGTCATGCCAACATGATGCGCTTTCTGTGCACCATGTTAAAGTGCAATCAATCTCTTTCAAGTGTATATGGCCTACTGCCACCTCTGGGGTAGGGGAGTTAACTCAGCCACACCTCCCCTGGCTATTAAAAACTTTGTACTGTAGCCTACAATTCTGGATAAAGTGTTATGTTTCTGCTTTTGCAGCCCCAGTATGATTCCTGTACCCTCCAAAGGGTGATTTCACCCATCTCTAAAACCATGCATTCGATGCTAGAAAGAAGCGAGTAAGCAGGCATTTAGAGTTTCAGTTCTGCGTTGCAGGCCCCTTCTGTACTAACGGTTAGTGTGGGAGTGTGTGGACAAGAGATTGGCTCCTGCAGAGGCCTTCTCCGGACTGTGCAGGCTCCTCGGGTCATGGAGGGTCCATCCATCCTGGACAATCCCTGGCTCCCATTTTACTAACTGAGCAAAATCCAGTCCTGGGATTCTTCCTGAGTATACAGCTCAAGTTGTCAGTAACATCTGACAGTGCACGTCCCACTCCCATCAAGTTGATTCTGAAGCTACACATTCTTTTTGGGAGCAGAAAGCCTTCTTTTTCTCCTGTGAAGTGTCTGGTGGATTTGAACTGCTGACTGTGTGATTAGCAGCCCAACGCTTAGCCCACTACGCCATCAGAACTCCTTGGAAGCACGGGTAAAAGGTGAAAATTTGAGTGAGGGTGTAGTACATAGAAATGAGGGCCAGAATCCCTGCAGCATTTTTAGGATGTGAGGGTTGTGACCTCTACCATTTTGACCACGTCGTAAGATCTGATATCTCTAAACCTAAGAGTACTGTCAGGGAAATAAAGGGAAATCACTGCAGACGGGATGTAGAAGGATACCTGGGCCACAGGAAATGTCTGGTACTATCAGAGAGGGAGAGGAGGCAAACTAGTGTATATTTGTGTCTCCATGGTGACATCATCACACACAGATTGGCTTTATATGGACCTGACTCCCAGAAGCCAGGGATCCTGGTCTCAGGTGTGAGTGCAGTGACAGGAAGCTGGGGGCAGTATTGGCTTCAAAGTTTCCATTGAAAAACTAAAATAGGCTAATCAATCGGCATAGCCATTTGGGAAACTCTAGGCGTGTGGTTGGAATATCAAGTGTTGATCTATTGTTTGGGTTTGGGTTTTTTTTCTTGCACCCTTCCACAGGGAGTTACTTTATTCTTGACTTCTTTCTTTTTTTTTTCATTGCATATTTCATTAAAAACATAATGGTAGGCAGTTTGCCCAGAAATACCTGGTATCACTAACAGAAAACAGTCATTTCTCTTTTGACTCAGTAGAATGCCTTTATTTCGGTGAAATGACATGTAAGTGGGGTTTTTTTTTTAATATTAAAACCCTTCAGATTTCTTATCTTTCCAAGTTCTTCATTTTTTAAAATTCTTGCACTCTGTTCTAGTCAAGTAGTAAGTAAATTCCATGTACTCGGCTTAACCTCACTACCCCTTTCCCCCACACACACAAAAAACCCATTGCCCTTGGCGACAACTCTGACTCATAGCGACTCCATAAATAAACAAGGTAGGACGAACCTTAGGGTTTCCATGACTGTAATGTTTATGGAAACGGGACGCAACATCTTGCTCCTATGCAACCAACCTTTTGGTTAGCAGCCAAATGCTTAACCACGGTGCTTCTGGGCTCCTTAATCTGGGCTTCCAAAATCAAAATGCCTGCTGCCATCCAGCTGATTGCAACTGATAGCAATCCAGTGTAGTATTTCGTGGGCTATACATTTTTAGGGGCGTGGCTAGCCTCGTCGTTTACTTGAAGCAGCTGGTGGGCTGGAACCACCAACCTTGTTAGCAGAGCAACACCTAATCCATAGAACTATCTAGGCTCCACACTCCACTTGGGGAAATGCTTTCCCTTTCACACTCAGGGACCGGAAAATACATCAACCACGAGCCAGACCTTGTGCCCGAAGATAATATTGTATGAGGTACAGTTATGGTTAGAGGACCCACCTGTCACGGGGCACAGGTAAGAAAGTGTTCAGGTCTGCCTTCTCAGAACATTACTCTTCCCATCATGGCCTAGCCCACTTTCTTTTGCTCACACTGCTTGAGGGGGTAGGCCTGCTTGGAGGTCACAAAAACCACCGCCTGTAGTTATCCTTTAAAGAAAATGTGTTCCCCTCTCTCCTTTTCTGCTGCCAATCAGCCTAGAGAATCCCAGGCTGCTTCGTGTACCTGTTGTTGGCCTTGGCTCAGATGAGTCTGAATCATCTGATGTCTCGTGGTTGTTGCCCTCAGGCATCTACAGAGCCGTTCCCATTCGAGTCAATCCAAGAGTGAGTAACGTGAAGTCTGTCTATAAGACCCACATTGACGTCATCCACTATCGGAAAACAGACGCAAAGCGTCTGCATGGCCTTGATGAAGAAGCGGAACAGAAACTTTTTTCAGAGAAACGTGTGGAACTGCTTAAGGAACTTTCCAGAAAACCAGACATATATGAGAGACTTGCTTCAGCCTTGGCCCCAAGCATTTATGAACATGAAGATATAAAGAAGGTAAACAATAAACATTTACTTTTAGGCTTGTTGAGATTTACCGTTCTCTGGGTCGTGTATTCTAAAAATGCATGGTGCATCTATCCCCTACACATCGTCATCCCCCCACCTTCCTCACCCTGAGATAAAGGATAAGAGCTTGCTAATGTCAGCAAGACACTCACAGTTGAATTTGTCGATAATTGAAAAGAACCACAACATCTTTGTCTGTTTGCTGATCTCTATAAATCTAAGATCCAGCGCTTCTGTGGCCATGTCTGATGTGACAAAGTCTGATGACTTTGAATAGGTAAGGCACTATCTCATTCCTTTTTCTATGCCATTTCATGCTGCAGCTTTATATTCACAGGGCAGACAGGTGCTTTTACTTAAATGTGTTACTCTGTACTAGGTAAATGTTCAGACATTTGTTTTTCTTTTAGGGAATTTTGCTTCAACTCTTTGGGGGAACTAGAAAGGATTTCAGTCACACAGGACGGGGTAAATTCCGCGCAGAGATTAACATCCTCCTCTGTGGCGACCCTGGTACCAGTAAGTCCCAGCTCCTACAGTACGTCTACAACCTGGTTCCCCGGGGGCAGTACACATCTGGAAAGGGGTCCAGTGCAGTCGGCCTCACTGCCTGCGTGATGAAGGACCCAGAGACGAGGCAGCTGGTCTTGCAGACAGGTGCCCTTGTCCTCAGTGATAATGGTGTATGCTGCATTGATGAGTTTGACAAGATGAATGAAAGTACCAGATCAGTACTGCATGAAGTGATGGAGCAGCAGACTCTCTCCATTGCAAAGGTAAGCCACGCGGATCACTGCATAAGCTAGCTCCCTTTAAACACGTGGGCACTCGGGTAAATCACAGAATGATCAGTGTTACCATGCTTTTATGTTAAGGAAACTGGTGGTTTGGTTTGGTTTTAAACAAATCCAAAGTTTAAGATGCCAAAGAGTACGCCATGCATTGGATTTTAGCCAAATCTCTTCGGTATCTTCTATAGGGAACTTTTTCATGGTGTTTGCTCCTCTTGCCCCTGCCAGGTGGTGTTTGTAGTGTATATAGAGGGGTGTGGTTTCTAAGAAAAAGATGGTTATAGCATGCACTCATCAACGTAGTCCTTACATGAATCTTCATGTTCTCCTTCATAGATAATTTTCTAATGCACATGATTGTCACACTCATACTTTTCATCTCAGATTTCTTTCTGACATCGAGAGGTATTAGTGACTTGGTTTGTGTTGTGTTAGTTAAGTCTATGAGGATAAAAGGTGGGACTGGGTAGCAGAACGAAGGGATTGCATTCGCGCTCTCCCCTGTAAAAAAAAAAAAAAGATACATTCGGTTTCTGTTGCTTTACTTGAAGTCTTGCAGGAATACAGTGAGAGCTACTGGGACAAGAGAGTGGAGGTATGAGGATAATACTAGGTACATGATGGGCCAAGAAACATGAGGTGGCCTTCACAGGGAAGGACCTTGGGGAGGCTGACACTAGACTGCACCATTGTAGATGGAAGACACCAGCCCTGGTCTGCCAGAACTTCACCATAGCCCGATTCTTCCTGTCAGGAGGACAGTAAGAAAGTGACACTTCTCCGGTGGAGGCCATTGTAGTGACTGGTTAGAAAGGAGTGCTTTCCAGTGGCTCAGGGACAGCCACACCCTGCTGATAACACGGTTTGTTTTCTCTGACAGGCTGGGATCATCTGTCAGCTCAATGCACGCACCTCTATCCTGGCAGCAGCCAATCCTATCGAGTCTCAATGGAATCCCAAGAAAACCACGATTGAAAACATCCAGCTGCCTCACACGTTACTATCAAGGTATTGAAACTTCTGTATTTTTTTATGGATCTCGGGATGAAAGTGAGAGAAGGAAATGCTTAAATTCGGCAGTGGTGTTCATATTATAAACTGTCCACTAATGTAAAATGTTTCAATTATGATTGGTTAGGTTAGGGGGGTTTATGGAGGACACAGATTATATATAATTCTCTGCCCAGCTGTGTGTAGCATCGTTTTTTTAAGCAATGAGAAATTTTCATTTTAAAATTGTCTACAAATGTAGATAATATAAATCTACACTTTTTCTCAGCCCACTATTCCAAATGTTGACGTATACACAATACATTTAATAAATATATTGTGGGTTTAAAATTCTAATTGCTTGGGGTTTTTTCCTTACCACATAAGTACTTTCACCCCACGACACAATTGAATGTATCCTGATTCCAGTTGAAACAGGCAGTGATGTTCTTTTAGGCCAGCGGTTCTCAACCTCCCCTTTGGGGGTCAAATGACCCTTTCACAGGGGTCACTCGATTCATCACAGTAGCAAAATTACAGTTATGAGGTAGCAACAAAAATAATTTTTGGTTGGGGGTCACCACAACATGAGGAACTGTATTAAACTCCGCTGCTGAAGCCCCGCCATCTGCTGGCAGGGATGGAGGCACAGCAAAGAGGGGATTTCACGGCTGTTTAATGAGGTGGCTGTACGCCTTTCTTCCCTCGGATGCGGATTGTAAGGGTTGCTCCTCAGCACTGTCTGTGAAGCTAAAAAGCAGGCTTGGAAATTGCATGCTTTGGTTGGCAGATCAACTACGAAAATCCTGTCTTGTTCTCCTCTTCCAGGTTTGATTTGATCTTCCTAATGCTAGACCCTCAGGACGAAGCCTACGACAGGCGCCTGGCTCATCACCTGGTGGCGCTGTATTACCAGAGTGAAGAGCAGGCTGAGGAGGAATTCATGGACATGGCAGTGCTGCGAGACTACATCGCCTATGCACACTGCATGGTCACACCACGGCTGAGTGAGGAGGCAGGCCAGGCTCTCATTGAGGTATGATGACACTGGTGTTAATCTGTGGGGGATCTTTCATTAGCCTAAACAAAAGCATGAATGTAACGTAGGATTAAAGCAACTTAATTATGCTTTGGTCACCCTCTGAAACGTTATTTGTGTAAGAGTCTTCCTTTTTCTCCCATTATGCAAATTCCCAAACATAAAAAGAGGGAAAGAATCACGCATATAAATTGTACACACAGTTTCAATGTTTAAATAATTGGAAGCAGCCCTGTATTGTACTAAGCATGGGCTGCTAGCTGCAACGTAGGTCATTCAAATCTCCCAGCTGCTCTATGGGAGAAAGATCAGGCTGTCTGGTCCCATGAAGGTTTACAGACTTGGAAACCCTAAGAAGCCAGTTCCACTCTGCCCTATGGAGTCCCTGTTAGTCAGCATAGACTCGATGGCGGTGGGTTTTTAAATGAGCTTAGGATTTTAAGACCTGAGTTCAAATACCAGGCAATCCCACCTGTCTCAGAACAGCATAGTGTTCTATAGGATTTTCTATGAGGAACCTTTCATAGGTATTTGAACCTTGATTTTTCAATTATTAGGTACATTAATCTTTTTAAATCTGCTGCTACATTCTCGGTAAGTTATTCATGAAGGAAAATATGCCACTTAACATATATTTAATATTCCTTATCTTTGTGACATAGTTCCTGTAGTCCTTGGCACATCTGGTTGAGTGGATCCTCACCCAGGATTGGCAATTGGAGCCACTGCCTGGGCTTTTAATGAGGTGCACCCTGTCTCTCCTTGTCCACCTGTGCCTTTTTGACCCACATCTTTGCTGCCATCCGATTTTCCATTCCATGCATCACATACCACCTTTGCCAGGAAATCTGGTTAAGTATCCTCCAGTCACAGTGTTCCCAGCCGTCATCTTCTAGCAGATGTTGAAATTTTATTCCAGGATTGCTGCATCCAGATGTCTATCTCAGCCACTTGATAGTGACCTCAAGGCCCCAGATTCCATGGCCGTGCATGGGCTTGATGCCCTGATGTGACAGCAGAGGGTGGCCCATCTATTTCAAGTAATTACAACTGCTCAAGGTTTTAACCCTGAAACTGATGATTGTTACCACAAGTTCTTGCTTTGTTTGTACTAGGCTTATGTCGATATGAGAAAGATTGGTAGCAGCCGAGGAATGGTTTCCGCATACCCTCGACAACTGGAATCATTAATTCGCTTAGCAGAAGCCCATGCTAAGGTGCGATTTTCAAGCAAAGTTGAAGCTATTGACGTTGAAGAAGCAAAGCGCCTTCATCGGGAGGCTCTGAAGCAGTCTGCGACTGACCCCCGGACTGGTATTGTGGATATATCTATTCTTACCACAGGTATGTTATATATAGGATTAAACAAAAAAGCGTTCAAATTTTATTTAAGTATATAAATAATATGTATTTCAAGATACTTGATCTTTTCAAGAAAAATATACACTGAAACACAGTTTTGAATCCCTTTAAGAAGATTCCATTTCCTCTTTGCTATATAGGGACACTGCTATCCCATTTTAAATAATTTATTTGTTAACAAGCAAATGGCATCTGCCCACTAGAGAATACGGAACAGTGCTTCTGATTTCTAGAGAATTGTAAATAGAATTTAAAATTTACTGTGATTTTGAATATCATTTGATCTCTATCTACTGTACCTTTACCCTACTTTGCGTGAGATTTCTATTATTCGCTTGAGACCTAAGGGAACAACGGAGAAAAGAAGTCACAGGCAGTCCACTTAAAATTTATATGAAAAGCATTTTTTAAACAAGCGTAAAGCAGAAGAAATTAGATGGTGCCTGGCTATCAGAAGGAACCGTGACTGGGATCTTACAAGCTTGTCTTCAAACAAGCAGCCGTCCTTAAGTGAGGCACCAACTAAGTCCACAGCAGAGAAGCGCACCAGCTGTGTGATCCAAGGGTTGTAAATGATGTAGTTCAATTCTGAAGAAGGAAATGGTATCCGAGCTTAAATTGTGAGCACATGGCTTACAGAAGCCAATGGATTGACTGGAAGCCAAAAATACACATGTATAGGGCCCACACACAGACTGAGCCTTCGTTGAATGCCCTCTGACCATAGTCCAGGGATGTGAATAGCCGTGCTATCAGACAGTAATGTAGAGACAATTATAGTAGGCATAGTTAGGTTAAAATGTTAACGTCTTATTTGATCCCCTTTCGACCTATTTAAATGTTTTGTCAGTTTTTAAATATAGTGAAGGGGAGATACACGTGGATTAAGCCTCGAGCGAATACACTGGATTAAGACCAGGAAAGCGAACAGCCTTTTTGTTGTTGCTGCTCCTCTCCAACAATTTTATTGGCGTATCATTCACATAACATACAATTCAATAGTTCAGTTACATCAAGAAGAGTTGTAGAGTTAACCCCAAAATCTATTTTAAAACATTTTTTCCATTCTTATGTTCATTGTTATTAGCTCCTTATTTCTCCCCAACCTCTCCTGCCACAGACTGCTTTCTATTTTAATTGAGAGTTTTCTTTATTTTGTTAGTGTTGTTAGCGTTTTTGTTTGTGTATGTTTCGCTACATGAAATCCAGGATGGGCGAATCTAGAGACAGGAACTGGATTAATGGTTTTTTGTGGGCAGGGCAGGGAGGTTGGGGAGAAATCGTAACTGATAATAAGGAATACAAGAAAGAAAATGTTCTAAAATTGATTGTGGTAAAGATTTTATAATTCTTTTTTTGATTGAAATATTGAATTATGTGATATGCAGATTATGTACCAATGAACCTTTTTTTTTAATTGCAAAATAGACTAGTAAAGCAAATTTTTAAGGAGCTTAGAACAGTAATGTAGATATTCGTTAAGGAGATTTCTGAATATCTGAAACATGTCACTTGTATTAAATTGTTTTACATTCAGGAATGAGTGCTACTTCTCGAAAACGGAAAGAGGAATTAGCGGAAGCTTTGAAGAAACTTATTTTGTCCAAGGGCAAAACACCAGCACTGAAATACCAGCAGCTTTTTGACGATATCCGGGGGCAGTCCGACATCGTGAGTATTTATGTTTGTGTTTTGCCTTAATATTGCTTCTTTTTCCTTTGTTGGTTATGTAAGTAATAAATGCAGATAATAAAGAACAGTAAGATAATCCATTATCAAGAAATGTATGTGATTAAAATATGGAACTTTCCATTATTCTATGTATAGTCTTTCAGAAAAAGATAACATCAGTTATAGGACATACACTCTTTAAAGGCTCTTTTTTTTTTTTTTTCTTTTAAAGCTCTTAATGAAAAATAATAATAAGGGTTCTTGGAGGGGAGGGATAAAGGGGAGCTGATATCAAGGAGTTCAAGAAGAAAGAACATACTTTGAAACTCGTAGCAGTTGTACAATACTGCTTGACGTGATTGAACTAAGGATTATTTTACCTATTAGAGTTCCCAATAAAATAATTTTTAAATTTTTAAAAAACAAATAGTAAGAGCTCTTGCAAGCAATATCTGTCACTTGAGCCTGGGATGGTGCAACAGTTAACACTCAGCTGCAAACTGAAAGATCACAGAGTCCACTCAGAGGCACCTTGGAAGAAAGGCCTACTGGTCTACTTCCCAAAACTCCCCTCATTGAAAACCCTATGTAGCGGAGCAGCACAGTGTGTGTCTCAGGCAGATCTTCACCTGAGTCTTCTGTCCGCATGTTGAAACCTTGGGGAACCAGCAGGATAGCTGCAAAAAAGAATAGGAGCCAGCGCTCCTTGGCTATTCACAAGGTAATCATGTAAGGCAGCGGAGGTGTCTGCAAATCAGCCCTGACTCTTCAGTTCGTGTATGATGAGTTTGTAAAGACTTAATGAACCTACCAAAGCTAACCGTTGCAAGAAGAAATGGCTTTTGATGGTGGTAAAGTTCAGATGTTCTAGACACTGCTGGGCAAGAGGACTATGCAGCCATGTGTGACAGCTACTTTCTCAGATGGGGGGGGTGGCTTTTTCTTTTTATATATACATATGTTGAAAAAGTTTATATTTAGCATTAGCCAGCTGGGCTCACTTTAGGTGATTCCAATTTTGTTGGCAACATTTAAAGCGTCATAGTCAGGAGCAGGTCCGAGCATATGCCTTTTTCTCACCGTCAGGCCCAATCAAGCTGTTGACCTTGGCTACGTCAATGTCATAGAGCTTTTTCACAGCCTGCTTGATCTGGTGTTGGCTTTGACATCCACAGTGAACACAAGTGTGTTGTTATCTTCGATCGTCTTCATGGCAGGCTCCGTGGTCAAGGGGAGCTTGATGATGGCGTAATGGTCCAGCTTGTTTCTCCGGGGGGCGCTCTTCCGGGGGTATTTGGGCCGCCTTCTTAGTCTCAAGGTCTTGGGCCGCCGGAAGGTGGGTGACTTTTTGTGGCTGTGGACGCCTTTCTTCTGCACGACCTTCTTGGCTTTTAAAGCCTTTGCTTCGGCTTCCGTTTTGGGAGGGGCAGGAGCTTCCTCGTTCGCCTTCGGCGCAGTCTTCGTGAAAAGCGGGGGAGGCTTTTTCTTAGTGTTCTCAGTCACAGAAAGTCCTCTACAGCAGCCGCTGAATTCCGGGAACAGATTGTCCAAGTGAAGGCTGAAGAAGATGAAATTTACACTGCTCCTAGCGGGAAGCAAGTCTGGCGTAGAGGGCCAGAGGGAGGTGCCCATTGAGCAGGCCAGACGTGAAGCTGAAGAGTTGGGCATGCAGTAGAGGGAGCCATCAGCCAAAGCGCTTGCCAGTGTGGACAGTGTTCTTTGACCTCCTAATGCGTGAAATCAGAGCAGAGAAGATAAGAAAATGGAATAATGACAAGGGAAGCAGTAAATATAAGAAAGGGGTTCTTAAAAGATGTTTATTACTGTGAATACCAAACCGATAGGTGTGGCCACACAAAGAACATAGGTTTGTAAGAGAAGATTGTATTTTACTTCATTCTGTTCTGCTCCTTCGCGCTCCCTGACCTCGTTCGTATGTGTTTCTTTACATTGAGGGTCAATTCGCCAATCTGGCTAAAAAAGAAAAATTATTGTCATAACATTGTATTTTATCCTAACTTTGTAATGTTGGCATCTTCTGCTTTTCTTTTTTTAAATCCTATAAAGCACAGTTCTACTCTTGACCCACGCCATTGCCATGAGTCTGAATCTACCAGGGTATCTGGTTACGCATTCATAAATGCTAAGCTCACGATATCGATTTATTCAAGTGTCCGTTTGTGAAATTCAAGTTGACTTAGTCTATGAACAGAACTTCCTGGGCCAAAACCAGCCCCTGGCCTACTTTGCAGTGTCTGCTCCTTGATGTATTTTTGGCAGCTTTGGCATTACACGAATCAAGTTTTGAGTAGTTGTAACAGAGCCATCAAAAGGGGGAAAAGAGATAGTTGACAGTTTAACATTAAAATTATATTTGTTCCAGCAGTTAGTAGAGAATTTAGCCTATCTAATACTCACTTTCTCTTTTCCAAAGGCAATTACCAAAGACATGTTTGAAGAAGCTCTCCGTGCGCTGGCTGACGATGACTTCTTGACGGTGACTGGAAAGACTGTCCGCTTGCTCTGATGGTGCCGGCTACTGCTCGTGTGGTCACACGCTTACATACGTGCATTAATTATGACCAGTCAGCCAACGACCCTGGCCATCAATATAAATGAGTCCTCAAAGTCACTATCTTGATATATGTAAAACTTTCTGTCATTAGATCCGTTTTCTTCAGTATGTGGGGTTTTGTTGTAAGTAGAAATACTCCGCCAGTTTGTAAACATCCAGCAGAGATTACGAGAGTGCCATTTTCAGCAGCAGGTGTTGTTTATATGAGTGTGTTCGTGTGTGCATACATGGATAGCACCGTGCTGGTCTTTTTGGAGATGATGGTTTGTAATCACAATTTGTGTGTGTGTGTGTGTGTGTGTGTGTGTGTGTGTGTGTGTGTGTGTGTAAGAGAGAGAGTTGTGTGCTAAACTTATTAATAGCAATTGTCCACATGCTGGAGGGTTTATAATAAAAGACAATAGATTTATTAACCATTGCATTTACTTCTCAGCGTTCCTTCAAAGACTAGGGTTCTGGTACCTTTTTCAGCAGCCAGGTGTCGTCCTTTTTCAAGACTAACTTGCCTTGTTCTTGTGGCTACTAGAAGACCTAGAAGTCACAAGTGATTTAAAAGGGTGGTGGGGAATGATTAGACCCTAGTCTTTTTTTTTTTTCCTTGCCTTGCTGCTGATATTACCCTACTATGTAAACTTTTTCCTAAATAAATAAGAATAAGTAATACATGAATATCTGACATGGGTTTTCTTTTTTTTTTAATGTGTTACTGAAAATTCACAATGGAACGTTGTTTACATAGCTCATTAAAAGAAACTACAATGTAATGAGTTTTATTTTACTCAAATTTGAATCGTAGCCATCATTATACTTGGGAGAAAGTATCCCCATAGGATGAAATCTTACCGTGCTCCCTACATTTTCTTCTAAGAATTTTATGGTTTTTGTTTTTACATAGAGATCTTTGATCCATTTTTCTTTTTGGTTGTTACAGCTTTAATACCTTGGTTTTTGGTGAATTAAGTTCCCATTTAAGAATTACTGCACAGATTGTTCAGTAACATTGGCTATATCTTTTACATTGTCAGCATTCTTAGTCATTCCATTCTGTATGTTTTCAGTTACCTGATTCCCTGCCCCCCTTTACCCTTCATCTTTGCTTTAGAGTAATGATTGACAATTTGGTCTTACATTGATGCTGTAGAGATGCACAGTACTCTGGTGGTATTCATTCCATGGGCCAATTTTATTTAGCTAAAAAGTGATGGATGATAGGGTAATTTAAGTTCTAGATTTATGAAGATCTCAAGACAGTAGGTTGAGGAAATCTCTATCTAGGCTAAGTGGGTCGTGTTAATCTATACTTTGAAGAATTTGAGTTCATTCCACACTTTTCTCCCTTTGTATTAAAATCCATCTACTATGGCCTTGATTGGGATAGTTGTTTATTGTAGCCAAACACCCATTTAATTTTTCCGGTCTCAGATGAGGCCATTTAGACTTAGCCCTAGACTATGAGTTAGTTTTTGTGTATGTGTAAGTTTATAAAGGGCTACAGTTTACAGTGGGATCTCTAAACCCATCTTGAGTCTGGCTTAATATTGAGCTTATGAACACACATGTACATTAATAATTATTCATTTTGCATGTATTTAGGCTTTCATGGGGGAAAGATACCAAGAAGGGCACAGGGCCCGAGACCGACCTGTTCAGTCACCTAGACTGGTGCATGGCCTTCATTGGCCAGCCCCTTGTGGGAAGTAGTTTAGTGTTGGTCCACTGTCGCTAAAGAATTCATCAAAGTGTTGTAGTAACTGCATTGGTGAAGAAGATTGACCAAGTATTTGAAAAGGACTTAAAAGACCTTCAGACTGTCAAGCTGGAGGCTAACATGACTGAGGGGTTGGAGTTGCAACCAAGATGGTACCAAGCAATAAGATATAAATTGGATAGCTCTCGTGCAAGATATAACAGTATCGTTTACAAAAGGTTACAGAGAAGTATCCAGAGTTGCAGAATTTACCTCAGAACTCTTTGCTGCTGGCCCAAACACCATTTCACAAGGACTGAAAGATGAGGTTGTCTACAAGTGAAGAAAGAGTTCCTGACAGGGAAAGAAGGGCGTCTGTGCTGCCTGCCAAGGGAGTGGACAAAGGACCCCGTGAAACATGAACAAAGGACTGAGAACTGGCTTGGCACACAACTGAAACCTGAAGCCAGGCCCTAGTGAAAACCCTGCCACTGGACTCAAAGCGACCACCTGTGGATTTCCGAGACTAATTCTACAGGAGTGGAAAGCTGAAGTTTTCTCTCAGAGCTGCTGGTGGTTTGGAACTAAGACATGCTGGCCCAGAGGAGCAACCTAGATAAAACTGAAATGTGTGAGTCCCAAGGATGAACTGTAGAACTGCAATTTCCCTCCCATTTGAAAGTGCCACATGGAAAGTAGAAATTTTGCTCTAGACGACATCTCTTCTTGCAATGGGGACCCCATTCACTCCTGGAGCAAAGTGTATCTTATCTGTGCTTAAGGTCTTCTCAACTCTCACGGGGCCCATTTCATTTATTTTGAAGTGACCAATAAAACTGGCTTAATTATTTTGCAGTGTATGTATGTGTGTGGGAGCACAGCTTATCTCTGGACCCTAACAAATCACACGGGTTTGGAGCCTGCTAGTTCCCCCATGGGTGCCAGGCTTGACAGATCTTAACAGTTCCTTATTTCAAAGTTCTAGTATTTTGGATCATAATGAAGTGGTACCATAACCTTTTCTCACAAGAGAGTAACATCATTCTTACAACACAGAGTAAGGCTCAGTGTTTATCTTCATTGGTCCTGTACAGTGGATGAAATACACTTTGGAGTGATGGCAGCTTTGTCCAAAATGCAGTGTGTGGCAGTGACATAATGTCAACTTGAGAGAAGGGGTGGAGTCTAGCCTGTCAATCAGGTTGCAGTTTGATAGCCTCATTTGGAGGCTTGCTGGAGATAAATAGCTCACTAGAGGCCAGATCCATTGCTCTTGCTCTCTGCCTTCCCTTTCCTGCTGTTGAGACACTCAGAGGAGACACATGGAGACTCACACCACATTGAGATGCTTCCAGTGCCACTGGATCCACAAGACCTACCCACTGGCCTGTGCTGCGTGAGTCTAAAGAAGAATTTACGGATTAGTATTGGACATATGGGTTAATATTGGAGTTGATCCCGACTGGGATGGGATGTTTTCTCAATATACAATTGCTCTTTTATATTAAACTTTTTTTAATTTTTAAAATCATTTTATTAGGGGCTCATCCAACTCATCGCAATCCATAAATCAATCGAATCAGGCATGCTTGTACATATGTTGCCCTCATTCTTTTCTAGACATTCACTTTTTATTGAGCCCCTGGTATCAGCTCTTTTCTCACCACCACCCCCAATAACCCCAATAGATTGTACATTGTTATTATTTTCATCTCTCACACTGATCGCTGTCTCCCCCCAGGTTTTCTGTTGTTCTCCTTATAGAGGGGTGTATGGTTATAAGTCGATCATTGCAATCGATTCCCCCACTCTTCCCCCTACCCTTCCAGTGTCACTATTCCCACTCCTGGGTTCTGTGTGTCCTGAGCTCCCATCCCTTTCTATACCTGTGCACATGTTCTGATCCAGTCTGAATTGAGCAGCAGCACTGGGGTCATGGTAGTGTGGGGTGAGGAAGCCTCAAGGAACCAGAGGAATATATGCTTTACTGCACCCTGGTGCCTCATCCCTTCCCTGTGACCCCTCTGTGGAGAGATTGTTCCATTGTCTACAGATGGGCTTTGGATCTCTCCCCCAGCCCCCCTTGTTCTCAACAATATGTTGTTATGTGTCTGCTGATGCCTATTACCTGGTCCCTATGACTCCTCGTGAGCGCACCAGCGGTGTGCTTCTTCCATGTGGACTTGTTGCTTCTTATTAGGAGATATGTCAAACATTTTTTTAAAAGGAAGATATGACTGTAGGGAGAGCTGTATTACACACATAGGTTGTCTCAAAATTCCAACCAGCCATAAAACTTTTAGGACAAAGATTCCACCCAGTGGCATCAACTGTTCCATAGATACTACATCCATCTAGTTAGATTAAACCTCAAACACACAAGACACGTGTAAAATGTTGGCAAATAAAAACTTTATTACTAAAAAAAAACAAAAAAAAAACCGCTTTCATTTAGAATAACCAGCTAGAATGAAAAGCAAAGTAACCACAATTCCTGACTAGTTTATTTTTTCTCCTCTAAAATGCCAGGCTTCCCTGAGTCAGCAGTTATTGCAATGAACCCACTTTTATGGACACCAATTTGTTGTGTCAGCCCAGTCCAGGGAAATCTTAAGCCCTGCTTCCTAACAGTTCGGCTCTGGGCTGCTTCATATAGCTTGCTGCAGCCAATCACACAGAAGCCAGGTGAGAATCAGCACACATTTTATTAACAGATCTGAAAGGATGGGGATAAATTCTCCAACATTGCATTGCTTTCAGCACATGGATCTTGTATTTCTCTTTTTTAACGAGGACAATATCCTTCCCATCTGGGAGTATAATCTACATTTCACTGAGTACAGGATTTACATCCTAGGGCGGGCATGGCTGCCCCTTCCTTTAATATTCTTAAAGGAGCCATCTGTCAAGGGGCATCCTCTTTAATGCATGAGTTTATAGCTTTCTGGTTTTTCTCATGGCTTTCCCTCAACCTATATTAGAGTTAATGATACAGCACAAAATTACTTAGGTCAGACATTTGTTCTGGGATTACATTCACATGGGAAGTTAGTCAAGGCAGTTAATAATGATTAAAGGATTTCAAGCTTAGTATCTACTTAATTGTCTTACATAATACATGATTAAAATCAATTCATTAAAAACCTCTCATTACACATTCTTCACCAGTTTGATCCCAGTTATAATATTTAATAAAAAAAATTTAAAGCCATTATCTCTCAATGACATTGATTTACTACTCAAACTTTAAAAAATCAACTCCTACTTTGGAACTAAGTTACTTTTCACTGATTTTTATACCAGTGGTACTATTTGTTATATGATCCATCAAAGTGTTCTCCATATGCTATATGCATTCAGGTCCATTCATTAACGAGTCTTCAAATATCTCTAACTCCAATTATTTACTGGATGGGAAAGTATCAGCATTATATTATTCTTCCTAATTGGTTGATGATACGGCCGAGCAGATGCTAACATAGCTGCCATACAAGCCAGACTCTAACTGCATTCGTGATAGTGATTTTGGAAGAAACAGTGATTTCTTGATATTTCAATTCATGAGAACTTCAACAATTCTTTATTATAAACTCAAATAATAATATATTGCCCCTGCTAGGACTTCTACTAGCAGCTACAGGTAAATCAGCCCAATTGGTGTTCATCCCCAACTTTCCCTCAGCTATGGAAGGTCCTACCTCCGTAGTAGCATTACTCTCTTCTAGCACTGTAGTACTTGCCAGTGTGTTTTCACTAGTCCGATTTTATCCTTTACTAGAAAATAATGCAACTATTCAAACCCTTACTCTGTGTATAGGAGCGATCACTACATTATTTAAATTGCTATTTGTGCTTTCACGCAAAATGATATTATATTAAGAAAACTTAATTTCTGCCCCAATCTTAATTAATGAAAATAAACTCTTAACCATGCTATTAAATAGTTTACATTTGAAAGTATTTTTGCAGGGCTTATTCCATG